ATGGGATTATATAGGGATTATATAGGTAAAGTTAGTAGAGTACTTGGTACACAACAAGCACTCCACAAATGTATTATTAGCTATTACTAATACTTTTATTTTCATAAAGATACTGATGGTATTTTCTAAAATAAGTAAGATCCATCAATATTAAGATAATGAAAGTATATGAAATTAAGACTCAAAGTCTTGAAGTATGGGACAGAACAAGTTTGGATGGAAAAGGCTACCACCTGGTTTAATACCATTTTCAAACATATACTTAAAGTATCTAGGTATACATGAAAATGTACTAGGCATTTTAAGAACTTTTCAGATACAGTCTGTGACACCAAAAATACACAGTTAGGCATGCCAGGTATGGTGGCACACAGCTGTAATCCCAGCACGCAGGATGTTGAGGCAGGAGGATCGTTTCAGATTCGAGACCCGCCTAGGCTACAAAGTGAGCTCAAGGCCAGCCTGAATTGCACAGCAAGACCCTGTCTCAAAAAGACCAAAAACAAAGAATAACAATAATAATAATAAATACACACACAGGCAAACTAATCCTGCTAAATGGGCAAAAACAGCAAAAACTCCAACTTTGAGCTTTTGTTCGATGGCATGCACCTGTATTTTTTGTTAAATTATTATTGATCCTTTCAGCTTTTGAAGTCAGAAGGGGAAGGAGTAGTGCAGTAGGATTTTGTCTAAGAGCACAGCACATTATGCTGTATGTATTTTCAACTGGCTTCAGTAGTCATGCTATTTGAAAAGATCCACAACTTCACAACAGGGTGTGATACCCACTTATGTCTATTTCGAAAGATGTTTACCATACCACCAATGGAAAAATTCCTTTCTATGCCCATAACTAACTGCAAGCCATAGCAAAAGCACAAAACGCTGTTACTGCACCCACAGTTGTAAAGCAAATTCAAAATATATCACCCATATAACAAATATTTCCTTAAAAACTTTTCAACAATAAAAGCAATCTGGCAACAAAAAAATTTAGCTCAGATATACAAATGTAGGCTTAAAAATAAAGGATAACTAATTTATAGACTTTTTAAAAAAAGTTTTCCTCTTAAAGGATTAAAGAAGAGAAGGGAGGAACAAAGGCACCAACAACTACCATCAAAACAAAGGTGGTTGTGTATTCAAGGTATATTTGAGGGTTCTAATAAACACTTATCCATTGTCAGCCAGACCTTATCCAGGTCTTACTGGCACCACCCAAACTTAGAAGTTGAAATGCACAGCTGTACCCATTACTGTTTTCTCCTCTCCTACCACACTTGGCAATGGAAGGAATCTTTAGAAAGTAAGCTGAATTCTATGGGAAAATTCTTAAACATCAGATAACAGCAAAAGTAGACAAAACTTATAGCCAGAGACATTAATTTAAAAAAGCAATTTCTGAAGGTTCCTTCTCTCTTTCATTACACCTTGCCACAAAAATAAAGTCATATAAACATTTGTTTATGTAGCCTATGCGCAGAAAAGCTTCTGGTACAAATTTCTCAGGCCTCTTTTCCTGAAGAGCTTCAAACCTAAGGCTCTGAAATGACAGTCAAAGACAAGACCAGAACAGATTAGAAAGAATACTTTTTAAATTTTTAATTTTTTGTTCTGTTTTTCTAAACTGGCCCCAGTGTAGCCTATTATGTCTGCCATGATTCATTAATTTGGCTATTATAAAATGTTCCTAATCTCTCTAGGCCTTTCTAATTTAGGCAAGTCTTAACACAGTGCAATTCTTTCTATACACTCAGATGGAACCTTTTAGTCCCTGGAACCCTCATTTTCTCCTTCTAGTCTTGCTCTGAGGCCCAAGAAATACTAAAGAGGAAACATCCTGGAAACGGTTCTGCAGAAATTGGTGAGCAGAGTAACTTCAAGCAACGGGGATCCCCTCCTCCAACATCAGGCTGTTTTTCTTTCTTCCCTATAGCATTTAACAAGTAAAGCAGTGTGGAAAGAGATGACTTAGACATGAGAGGGTGCAGCAAAGAACTATCTCAAGCTTTTTACAAATCCTACTATCTTTTCCCTAGTTATTGGTACTTAAGTCTGGAAAATCTCTTTAGAATATGTCTCGTGTATAAGAATTACATAAAAGATAACAATTTGCAGAAGTCAAACATACAGGTTTAATAATGTGCAATAATGAAGATGGTTTATAAATGAAATACCACCTATACATTTAGTCCCTAAATGTAATGTTCTTAAATTAAAAAGAAATCATTATTCTATTTCTTAAAAATAAAAATATCAATATAATTCAAGAGTCTGCTCAAGATCACTAAGTTGAAATTTGATAAAACATTTTAAGTTTCAACCAATGCACCTTTGTTGAAGCACATTTAGCTGAAGTAACTTCGAGTCTGGTTTATTTCCATCACATATAGTACATTTTTTTCCCAACAAGAGCACGTACATTCAATATAAACATTTCCAGCAACAATTACAGTCTTTCTAATTTCCTTTCACAGTATATTTTAGTGCAAAGCACTGAGAAGGGTAAATAGTTTTCTGGCTATAGAAGCATTTTATTATGACCTTGTGGATCTTCAACATTTTAAAATTTTATACAAAAAGTATATAGGTGGACAGGGTCCCCTCTAAGTACAGGTGTGAACCTATATAAAAACATGGTATAATTTCTGCTGTACCAATTATAATTTGACACACATTACTAAAAAATAAAATATTCCCTAAAAAGTACAAAATATTGATACACAAAAACCTACCCAAAATTTCATATAGATGTACTTCTGTTTTCCTAAAATCTTGATTACAAAAATGGACAAGAATTCATTATTTTCTAAATTTTACAGTAGGAATCAAATATATCTAAAGTGGTCATTTAAATTTTTTTCCTGGGAGAAAAAAATCAGGGTTTATACCCCATCTTCCTTTTTAAAACAATATTTAAGGGAATTAGCTAGTATCATAAGAAATGGTTGTGCATGGATTGTCTGCATCCATAAAATATCAGTAAGCTATTTACTGCCTTCATATTAACATTAGTAAAGTGTGGTCTTAAAAAAAAGAAAAAGAAACTGAAAAATAAGGTTGCATCTATCATTAAAGTGCTTTATATAAAATTTAAAGAAAAATAGAGTAATGTTTAATTTTCCATAAAAACCTCAGATGTTTACAAACTAAAAATACAATGACCCACGTATGAAAATGAGCAGTAACTTTCCTGTGTTACATATTTTAGAATAAAACTTTCAAACATTTAAGTGCTAGAGAATGAGTTAGAAATAAATGGATATAAAAATGATTACAAATATTTAGTAGACTAAATATCTATAATATGTTGATATTAATTTGTCTTTTGTTCCTAATATACACTCACTAGGAAACCATGTATCTGTACAATCCAGGTGAAAATTTTTCTCAATAAAGCAAAACAAAATTAAAATCACTAAGATATAGTGTAATTTCTGAGAATTAAAAACAGGTATTTTCCTTAGGTTGTTGATCACTTTAATCAACAAATTATTTGGGAAATAATATTTGCAACATTTTTGTAGACCAAATATACAAGGTCAAGGTGGGTGGATGACAGACTGGGACACAGGTAACGCCAGAGCTACCTGAAAGCGCTGGGAAATAGGCACTGCTTTAGACATAGGTAGTTAGATGGTTATTACTGTAGTCAGAAAACAGCAGTTACAGCTTAAAATTTATGACAATGTTTTTGTTTTCCCCTCACAGTACCATGTAAGATGTTCAGTGGTTCTAACCAATTTAGTCTTCCAAAAATGAACTCCAAACCTTTCCATATATCACTTGAAGTTATCTCAGAAATGGAATAAATGAATACTTTTTGACTTTCCCATTACAACTTGGTCTCAAAATTATATAAGAATAAATAACTTTTAAAGGTTGGTTTCATCTGAAAGTTTTCACACAAATTAAAAAATGTGTGATAATCAAACCACAATAATATTTAACCTATTCATTACTCAAACTAATTATTTTGATTTAGAACCTGAATCTGAGACTAAATAATCATTAAATACATTAAAAGTCTTAGAACAAGGAAACAGGTGCTAAAGGTAAACCTTAAAAAATATTTAGAAACTTACTGGGAGCCTATTTCTTATTTTACAATGCATTTTTAAAATCCACATTTGTTCCAAAACCTTTAAAAAGTAAGATTTTTCTTTCAAAAAGGGATTTTACTTTTCTTGCAATGCACAATCAACCAACCAAAAAAGAAAAAAAAAAACCTCTAATAGTAACAATGTTGAAGTGATCACCAAAATGGCTTATTAAATAGAAAGGGAAAAATATGAGTATCTAGATCTAAATAATCACTTTTTTAATAGATCAAAATTAAAAAGCAGTCACTAACACACACTCCCAAGGAGAAGGAAAAAAAAAATCCAAACTTCTGTTTACCAACTCTCCCCCTTTGCCTGGAAGCACTGTTAGAAGTAAATGCTAATCATTCTAAATTCAATTTGGGGATTTTTTTTTTTCTGAGTGTAGCACTTTATTCAGCCATCACAGATTAATTTTTACAATAATTACAGTGCCTCAAAAGATTTTTTCCTATAATTACTGCCTTCACAAATGCCTTCTAATATATTTAACTTTCCTACAATGAATGTATTAGTAGACTAAGTCACTGAATCAAATTAAACCTGTGCGAAGTTAGTTAAACAGAAGATTTCTATTGTAAACATAAGCCAAAATAAATGCATATATTTTACAATATTAAAAGGAAAGCACTGACCATATGTCATCTACCTATAACTACACTGCCTTGTCCTGTGGTAGGTAAATTCTGAAGCTAACTTTTGTTCCCAAACCACTGGAATAAAGGTCACTGAAGAGGTAAATGCAATATGCACATTACTCTTGCAGTTCCCACTGCCATAAGATATATGGAAACAAGTATGTGTTAAAATGGAACCAGCTATAAATTATGGTCAAATGATTTTTTTTTTAGTTCGATGGGGAGAAAAAAGCAAAACTCTGTAACTGTTCCTCACCAGACAAGAGCCTTAGATCTTGTACTTCGGCCTTTGGTTTTGTTTCCATCAGGTGAATTGGAAGCATTTGCCTTATGAGTTTTCTTATGATGTTCAAGGTAAGTCTTTTTGGCAAATGCCTTTCCACATTTATTGCATCTGTGAAGAGAAAAGTTTTTTGTGACTTTTACTTCAATACCGACGTCAGCTACCTCATACTTTTTAGTAGGAGAAGTGGAAGTGCCGTCATGTTTTGAATCATTATGTTTTGCTTCGTCCCTTGAAGGGCCTCTTTTAGCCACTTTATTTAGAACAAAATCAATAGGCTTTTTTATAGCTCTGATCTCTAAACTTGCTGTTATTTTCCCAAGATAGCGAGATGACTTTTTATGAACCACAGTTATATGTCGTATCACATCACGTTTCCGACGAGTTTCGTAAGTGCAAAGAGGACACTTGTAGAATTTAACATAAATGTTATTTCCATCTGTGTGCAACTCGATGTGTTTAGTCAAGTTCTGCTTAGAAGTAAACTGACGTTTACAAAGTTTACAGTAAAGTTGCTTAAAGTCAAAGCCGGCTGAAAGTTTTGGTTTCCTGGTTTTTTGCTGGCCACCTGCAGCCGACGGACTGGTTGATTTAGGGCTTTCAGAGTCTTGTTTAAGTTTATTTTTCTGTGCTGCCGGTGTGTTCTTTTTTTCATTTGAATGATTTGTTCCCTTTAATTCATTCTGCGGAGAATGGGTAATGGAAGGGGGTGAAGATTCTACAGAATCTGCTGGTTCAACTTTAACTTTTATTTCTGAACTGTTGGCAGTATTATTAGGGCCTTTCTCTCTTTTAGAGTTTGTTCCAGAAAGAGTTATCTTGTGAACAATTTGCATATGTCTTTTAAGCATTATTTGTGAACTATATTTCCTCTTGCAAAGGAGGCATTTGCATGCAGTTAAATTGTATTCAGCCTTTGAAGACGACTTTTGTTTTCGAGTCTTAAAAGATTTTTTAGGAGAAACAGAATCCAGGAACAAAGGTTGCCCGGGCTTTGTTGCTATATCAGGAGTAATTGAATCCCTCCTTAGTCCTCTATGAACTTCATCAAAATGCCTCCTTACATTCGCTTTTGTAGCAAATGATTTACAACATACTGGACAACTCCTACTTAATGAAACTAGAACATTCTTACTGCGCCCTTTAGAGGATTGGTTTGGATTCTTTCGTGTTTCAATGTACTTTTTTAATTCTTCCATCTTTTTCTTGTGTACTTTTCGAATGTGACGACGAACACCTCGTCTAGAATTGAATTCTTTTCTGCAAAGACAACATATCAACTGGTGACCAAAATCAGAATTGTCAGAAGTTTCCGGGTCAGGCTGTGATTCCTGAGGTTGTTCATTGGATGTTGGTGCAACTTCATCAGCAACAATCTCAACAGGAGGAGATTCTACAGTTTCCACCTCTGTGTCTGTAACTGTTACTGTTTTAGACTGTTCGGTGGTAGTTTCCTGTATTTGAACTTCAGTTTGCTCAGGAGTACCACTTGACTCTGTGACTTCGGCGGGATTATCAGTTCTTGAAATATATTGAAATACTGCATTTTGATTAGTTTCTATGGGTTCTAACTTAATAATATATTCTCGTTTGTCCACACTTGGATATATGGCTTCTAGGAGATCATTTATGGCTTGGCTTTGTTTATCATTTACATCAGGAAGGTCTGTTAAGGAAAAAACAACATTTTAATCTGAAATAACTGGCCTGCTCTAGCCCTCCAATACTTTAAAATATTTTATGGTAAAAACTAGTATTAGCTAAACTAGAATTCACTAAAGAATAACTACCAAGAAATAAATTAACTTTCTACTAATATTTTAATTAAAAGGTTGAATTTAAAACTATAATTTTCTATGGACTATAATTTATACCTCAATGATAAAAAGAAGTAAAGTAATATCAAACAGTAGTAGAAAAAATTTATGGACAAATACGAAATTTTCATCTCTCTACAACCTACAATATACTTTAAGCCAATTTCATAATAATAAGTAAGGTAGTACTTTGATACCTGGAGTTTGCATTTCATCCCTATGCCAGAAAGTTTAAGTTGAAAAAATGCATGAGCTCCCTAACTCATGTATGTATGGTATCAGAATGTCAAGTTCTATATTTTGTAAGTCCACAGAGTTAAATCCCTGAATAAAAAGTAATTTACTATTAAAGCATTTTAAAATAATTTAGTTATTTAAAGCAAGAAAATAATACCATCATACATATTGCTAACTTAACACAACATTAAGAACAATACACATAACAAACACTTGGATCCACAAAGACTCTGCTAAATACCTTCATCACGAACAGCTACTTCTGACCTCAAGTTAGTGTGTGATGAAAACTGAATTTCGGTAATAAATTTTGCTGAGAACAAAACTGATATTCAAATCAAGATCAGAAAACACTAGAAAATTTAATAAAAATTTTCTAATGGTCTCTAAAAAAAAAAAATCATTCCCATAAAATCAACCAATTTACTCACTCTGCTCTTTACTTCTGACATTCTCATCCACTTAATGGGAACCTAACTAAGTGACCAATCATATCTAGAAACAAGCTATCTAAGATGTAAAAAGGAGAACTAAGAGAAATTGCTCCCTTGAAAACAGCATCAATATGGGGCAGGGGATATAGCTCAGAGGTACAGCACTTGCCTGGCAAGTGCAAGGTCCCAAGTTCAATTCCCAGCACCAAAAAAAAAAAAAAAAAAAAAAAGCATCAATGTTATAAATTACAAAATCCTGAATATAAACTATATGGCCCATATAAACATTCAAAAATAATATCCAATATTTTAATACAAATAAATAATACTCATATATCTAATCTCTTAAATGTTATCTAGGGAAATCCAAGTGGAAAATACTGATATGAAAGTACCTGTTTTAAAAACTGAATACTGAGTTAAGTATTTAATTTTATTCTCCATCAACTAAGTTATCTACAACTAGAGATCAATACCATTTTAATGCAAATCTATAGTTGCAGCTGTGTAAGAAAACTATAAAAAGCGTAACTGAATATATAAATTAAACTTACTGTCATCCATCTGAAGACTTGGTGGACAATAGAACTTCTTGTGGGTAATTAAATTTGGTAATCCTCTGAAGAGACTGCGGCATAATTTACATTCAAAAATTGTGTCCACATCTTTCAATAAAATATGCTTAAGCTGTTTGGTTCCTGGGATGGAAAGAAAGGAAAACAACACAAAAGGTAACTCTAACATGCACTTTTTTTTCTGTACCAGGAATCAAACTCAGGACCTCATGCTTGCCAGATGGGTGCTGTGCTGCTGAGTTACATCCCTGGCCCCTTACCACGCACTTTTAAACTAGGTAACCAGTGATAACAATCCAAAAGTACAGTTACTCTTTTAAAACAAAGGGATTGCCAATGCTATGACAGTGTATTTAGAATTAGGTTATAAACTAAGTTCTAAGCAAAATCTTACTATAAACTGGAAATCTAGACAGCTAAAACTGATTCCCTTTTCCTACTTCAATAACCAACTCTTTGGATGTCTCAATGCAGTGGTTCTGACATTTGACTGATCGTTACAACAATTTGGGAATAAAGATGTATGTCACCCTTGCCTAGAGACTATGACTCAATAGGTATGGCTGAGCAGGAAAACGTTCTTGAATCACTTCCTGCCAAACTGTTTGGCTGGTCTTACCCACCCTTTTCTAAATCAGAAAATGAACAAGCAGTTTTTCAATACAGTTTCCCAATTTATTAGAAGGTCAAAACTGTATCACAAGATTGCCTGTGACTTTTCTTTTAAAATTCCTTTATGTTACTTCAGATTCTGGGCCAACAGAGTATCTATTTAGCATGATAGAGAATCTTTGTCTGTATTGAGTAATAATTCCAAATTTTGATTAGGTCTCTTGATAGCACTATAAATTTATTAAAAGCCTTTCTCCCTCTGAAATCTTATCCCAATTCCAACTAGGTATCTGTATAATTAGTAGTTCAATGTCTGTGTTCTCCACTAGATTATAAACTCTCAAAGCAGCCCAGACCAAGCCTATCTTATTTCTAACTATAAGTTTCAGCTCTAATAGTACTCAGGAAGAATTTGTTGAAGAATAAATACTACTGATCTAGGAGTCTAAGCATTATATTATGACGTAAGATCAAAAGGCACAGAAACAATAAATGGCAAGAAAAATCAAATCATCAAAATAAAAATAACCAAGTATAAAATATAATGTCTTTTGTTGCTGTTTTGCGGGTATTTGCCAAAGGTAAACTGACAAAATTATCTTCAGAACTTTACTATGTCTTTACTCAAATAAGAAAAAAAGAAACTGGTAACAATACTGACTTAATTTTGTCACTAAATATTGACAAAGTACTCTGAAAACTATCCTTAAGACCATCTAGGCACACAGTATTCTGCCATTCAACTCTACCTATTAAACTCTGGGACTACAAAAGAGTATAAACTACCCTAAGCAGAATTAATATTTTGGGGTCTAGAAAAGTTAAGTGTTTCTGAGTCAATCTTTTATAACACATTTACATTTAACTTTTGGAGTATATTTTATTATCATTTCAAAGATAAGTCAGTTCTCAAAATTCTATTGGAAAAAAGACTGATTACCAGGTTATCAGAATATTATGAAGTCTTTCGACCTTCCAAATCTGTTATTATTTAGTTGTATGACCTTAAAGAGCTATATAAACTTTGGACTCTTCTTTACCACCTGTAACAAACCAAACTCTCTTGAAGAATTATGAAAGAAAAATTAAATTATGCAACTGAGTTTCCACTAGAAAAGATATCTATCTATCTATCTATGTAATGAAGTAATTTCTACTGCTGCCCACATCCAAATGTATGTTTATTTCACTAGCCCCTATTGCCTCTTGTTTTTACTCTTAAAACATAAATTTAAAACGATTCAGAGTAATATTCTTTATATAAAAGTAAATTCCTGTACCTTCTGCTAATCCATTTTACATTAAAACATATTTAAACAATAGACAGCTAATGTATTTATTTCACAGTTAACTTCATAAGTGACAAACTATAGGTCGACTGAGGATAAAAGTATTTCAGGTAAGCCTCTCTAATTGACCATACAAGTGCTCCAGAAGTGTAGCTGAGTAGATTACTAGTGAGAAGAAAAAAAGAAATTTTTTCCACATTGATTCTAAGTTTAAATACATGGTAAGTCTGTACTAGAGGTTCAATTCTGCCTTAAAAGATTACAAAGAAAGGAGAGAGAGAGAGAAAGATTGATAAGAAAATACAGAAATCTGTTTAACTTAAAAATTCCACTGAGTGAGGCATGTTGTCACACACCTGTAAGCCCAGCTACTAGAGAAGCCAGAGGCAGAAGGATCACAAGTTCAAGGTTAGCACGAGCAACTTAGTCAGACTCTGTCTCAAAATAAAATAAATCAAATTTTAAAAAGGACTGGAGATGTAGCTCAGTGGTAGAATGTTTGTCTAGCATGCACAAATCCTTGGGTTCAATCCCCACTACTAGAAAAAAATTTCAACCAAAGATTTAAATGTACACAGTAGCAGATTAAAAGCATAAAAAAATCAGCCTATAAATATAAACTTATACATACAAAGATGGTCAGGTGTAAAAATATAAGACAAAATCCCTAAATCAAAACATATATATTTTGTCCACCAGCTTCTCTCAATTATAATATCATCAATTTATATTATTAATTATTCCCAGTTAAATAGTTTTACTCAGTAAGGGATGTATATTTATTCCCAATGAACATTTAAAAAAAGTTATCTGCCCCTAACTTGACTAACTGATCTTAAGTTATCAACCACAAATACTACCGCCACACATAGAGCTACTGACCCAAGTATATCAAATTTCTTTCAAATTGGCAGATATGCAAATGTCCTCTCCCCTCTCACTTTACAGCCCTTCACCTATGCTCTTCTCTCTAACTATAACATTTTCCTCTACTTCACTAGTCTGGCTCACTGCTAGGAAGGTTCAGATCCTAGGTTAGATGTCATTCTTTCAGGAAGCCTTCTCTGACCTCTTCTGTTTCTTGCTATGAACTCTTCACCTATATTCCCACTGCACCTTATATATTTACACCAGCTTCCCACTATCCTGTAATCAATTATTTCTCTTCCCATTAAACAAAAAGATCTAGGAAAACAGAAAATGTACCTTTGCTGCTCAGGAAAATGCCTGATTGACATTTGTTAAACAACCTTTGGGAGAGCTCTATCTTCAAAAATACTTTGTTCTTTTTTAATCTAGTTGAAGTTGACTGAGGAGTCGAAAAAAGGGGTAGTAAATGTTTTCTAACTTTTAAACATTTCACAAATGAGAAAGTAAGTGTCTCATTTCATAACCACAGACATTAAAAGTTTTTCCTTAAATTAACTTCACTTACCATTTCAGATGCTATGCTTTTCCCATGGGGACATAATGCTTTTGTTCAAAATCAGCTACCATTTTCTGATTGCTTTGCTCACCTACAAATATTTACATACAGCGAACCACGCCTCTGTCAAGGGCTAAAACTGCTGGTCACCTGAGACAACAGACATGGCCATCTAACAGCAGCAACAGTGAAGCATGCTGCTTTCTTCCAAAGTATGCCTTTTCATACATTTCTCTCTTTCTTGCCTTAAGTGTTTTGTTTCTGCTTTTGTCTCTGGTTTTTAAATTATCCTCAAAGTCACTAGTTACCACTTACTGACAGATTATCAGTCGGGATCTTTAAAATAAAAGGATAAGGCTTTCAGTGATGTGCTACTGCCACATACCATAATAAATTTTTTTTTTTTTTTTTTTTTTTTTTTTTTTTTTTTTTTTTTTGGCTTTTCTCCGGTACCGGGAACCGAACTCATGACCTTGCGCTTGCCAGGCAGGCACTTTTGCCGCTGAGCTAAGTCCCCAGCCCCTTATAAATTTTAAAATAGAATAGAATTACTTCAGGACTGTAACTATTTGGAGAATCTTTTAGTTTAATCTAACAAAAAAAAAAATCTAACAAACAATTATTGAGTACCTATTAAATACCAGGTACAATGTTACTCGTTGGAAATATGAAAGTTAAGGATGTACGGTCTGTGCCTCTTAGAAATTCATGGACTGATATAAATAGCTGCTTCCTTAGGAACGTAGGCCCAGAGGACATGCTCTTAAGATGGATGTCAGCACAATAAATTATACAACACTACAGTTTTCCTTATTTAACTAAAAAAAAAAATTAACCCTATTTTAAATTTCCTACAATTTGTATGTAACAACCCAAAACAAAATTCCCACTGTAGAATACGGCACTCTCCAGGGTATATCCCATAAATTATTAAGCTTTTATCTAGAGGCAGGACTGAGACATCACCATTCAGTCATAGCTCATACTAATTAAGATTGCTTAAAGCACAAAATAAGTAAATAAACAAAATAAAAACACTTATAAGAAGTTAAACGATCAAAACTAGGAACATGATTACAGCAACAAACATCACACAAAACTTAATTCTTACTTTTTGCTACCATTCTATAAAAGTTACAATTTACTTCTCCCTATGAGTCAAAAACAATGAAGTTACTTGTACATAGTAGTCTAGTCTATTTACATGTAATTTTTGCTATAGTGTTATACATTATCTCTTTTTACAACATTATGCATTCTAAGAATTTTTTGAAATGTCAAACTTCATATCAAAGATCAGTTTTGAATACTGGACCAAAAAACAATTATCTTTCTTCCCTCTTCTAATTTTTCTGTTTCTAAACTTAAGGTATTCCACAGCCCATTTGCATCTACCAGACAACTAAGAGATTTAAAAAGAATATTAAACTCAAATCAATTTAATAAAAAACTAAAAGATACTTAGTAAATATCTAAAGATAGCACACCTTTTATCTATTTAAAATTTTGTTTTGGTTGAGAGATGTCAAAGAAGAACAAAGATAAACTGTAAGTGTTAAAGGCAAGAAAAAATGTGAAGACATCAAATCACAAATGTGATCCTAGAAATACTAACAGCCAGGACAAAACTCTGCAAAGGACAGGGCACAACCAACGCAGAACCAGAAGGCAGAAGTTCAGAGCAAACAGTAGGTTTCAAATCAGCTAACCATCAGGGATTTCAGACTAGAAAATGTGTAGATACAAAACAGGAAGCCTTTCAAAAATATGTATCTCTGGATTGATGTACAAAAATAACGAAACCTACTGTCAGTGAGACAGGTACACAAGAGTATGCTGTCATCTACCATTTGTACTGGGAAGAAAATGAGAGGTATATTTGTACATGTATAAAAGGTTCCTGGAAGAAGACATATAAATTACATAGGAACAGCTGCTGAGCAAAGGAGAACTGGGGGACAGAAGAGACTTACATTTTTGTTCTATATCCTTTCATACTTTATTATTTTTTTAACCCAAAGGCCCATATTACTTATTCCAAAAGAAAACACATTTAAATTAATTTATAAATCAAAAAGAGAGAAAGAAAGATATCAGAGGTGAAGAATTGATAATTTAAAGCCAGAAGAATAGTCCAAAGCAAAAGCTAAAGTATAAAGCAAAGAGAATGAGTTAAAACTGCTTAGGTAGCCAATACAGCACACATGGAACTGGTGGATCTTAAAACTGAGTCAGCTCTCTGGGCCTGGCAGCACGCATTTTACTCCCAGCATTCTGGGAGGCTGAGGTAGGAAGATTTCAAGTTCAAACCCAGCCTGAAAAACTTGACAGCTTAGGTAGACCCTGTCTCAAAATTTAACATAAAAAGGTAGATGGGGGATAGAGACGTAGTTCAATGCAAAGGCCCTGAATCCAATCCCCACTATCACACACACCCAAAAGAAGTGTAGGAAGAAAACCTCCTTCCTCACACAGAAACTTTTACAAACTTCCAGCTTAGGCAGGAATTAATACCAGTTCATGGACAGCCCCACATACGTGGAAGAAGGTAAGACACTCAAACAGAGATGATACTGTAGCTGAAGATAACTGTCTGAGCTTGAAGATAAAAACAGATATCCTAACATAGCACTACTATCCAATCTGACTTAGCATCTATTAGGTAACAAGAATAGAAGCATAAGCTTCAGAGTTCTTTCTTCAAACATATGTCAAAAGATTTATAGCATCACCAGGACTGTTCTTTAAATACAATGTGTATGACCCAGTTGAAATGGAAAGAGCCTAGAAAGAGATGACTCACTAAGGGTATGCTCAGGAGTAGAATGGAACAGGGAGGAACTGTCAGTCTCTGCATTAGAAGGTATCTTAGTCCCTAAGTCATGTGACCCAAATTTCCATTCCATCCTCTGAAGGTTTTAGTTGCTTTGACTTATATTTGTACTAAAGAGCTACTAGATTAGTATCACGAGGAACAAAATTCTTATTTATGAACATAATAATGAAATAAAATAATTCTTTTTTAAATAGAAAATTAGTTTCACTGTACCATACAGCATATATCCAAATAACCTCTTATTTGATACTTCAGAGAATTACAGCATTTTAAGAATGCGCCTCAAAAGGCTGGGGACATTTTACAAAAACACACTTTACAAATTAAATATAAATGGCTTTGGAATTATATCGTTTCAGATTACCCATTTCAGTCCCTGTTCTTTAGCTTACATTATAAAGAAATGGTAAAGTCAGAAAACACAAACAACCACAATGCAATAAAAAAAGTATTCATCATTAAATATTCACAAGGACAAAAATGTGTCTTACAGTTTTAAAGAAACACGAATTTTAATCACAATTTCAACACTTAGTTGAAAAGGTATTTTTACAAGGTAAAGCAGTTTATGAATTAACTTTAAATTCTTAATCAAATAACTGTAATAAACTGAGAGCATAAAATAACTTCATTAATTCCAAATTATGAACTTAAAAAAGAAACCTAGGGCCAAGTAGTACTACTAAATGGAAAAAGTTATTATGTTCATTTTCATAAATAATAAAAAGAACTTTTACCTCTATTTTAAAAGTACTTGAAACAGAAGATAACCATTTTTGTTATGCCAGAAAAAAATACCATCACTAAAATTTTATTTTAATTGTATTTACCATAATTGACTTATGAATTTTTTTCTGTTAACCAAGAACAATTATCAACAGTAAAAAGCAGACACAAAAAATGCACCAAAGTGGGGCATAAGACCATTTAACATAAGGACAGGCACATGGTATACAAAAATACATACTAAATTAAATACAATAAACAGAAAGTAAATGTCATGAAGACTACCGATAAGTCTGAGAAATAGAGGTCTTTGAGAGTCAACCAAAAAATTCCTTTTTAAACTAGATTAAGGGACAACCTATTAGAATCCTAAATTAAACAAATATGCTTTCCTCCATAATGTGAAAATAAGTACCTCAAAACATTTCTCATCAACATAAACCAGTTACATATAAATCATATTTCCCTTTGAAACACAAATTTTTCATTAAGTTAGTATGTTTTAAAATAATGACAATATTCTAATTCTTTAAGCATCTATTAGGTATCCTTTAGTTCTCTTATTTGCTTATTCACATTTGTCAGAATAGTCTGCAATGTCAGGGAAGCCTAATTCTTTCTGTATTTTTTTTTTTTTTTCTGGTACCAGGAATTGAACTCAGGACCTCATGCTTGCTGGGCAGGCGCTGTGCCACTTAGCTACAGCCCTGGGCCGAGAAGCCTAATTCTTAACAGATGGACAAGGGGATCATAGGAGTCACAGCAATCTAGGATCTTACTGATAACACAAGAGTTCCAACAATTCTCAATCATTTATATATATTGAATAATGCCTAAAGTATTAGGTTACAACTGAATGTATTTATCAATTCTTAAGCCACTAGAAATAAAAGCCAAACAAATGTACCTGAAGTTATTAAGGTTCAACTGTGTCTTTTTTCTATCCTTTGCTCTATTAAAGATATTGAAGTTTAGCAGAAAATGAGCTACCTAAACAATGATGATAAAGTAACTGATCTAAAGTGACATCTCTGACATCTGAGGAAATAATCTACTATGCCAAAGTGTTTAAAGATCCAGAATAATTTACTAGCTTTTGCAAGCTTATACAGAACACAACAAAAGGTAACCAGCAGATGTACCACACAATATATTTTTTTACTAAACAAATTCATTTAAAACTATACAGTACACAGTGTTGAAAAAGAATTTCCACACCAAATCAATATATATTTACTGTCTAAAATTAGGACAATTAAAAGTATTCTATACAGAAAAACAATGTACACATTTTAATTTTTTTTAGTTATGTCTAAAGACTTCTAGATTATTTTTCAATACTATGTGAAGACTGAAAAATACATCCTAAAACATTCATACCTGATCGAAAGCACTCAATTATTTGTTGAATACCAGATTTGGATGTCTGTAGTGGTTGCTGTAACAAAGGAGGATCTCCAGGTTCCAGGATATAAACTACATGGAAGACAAATACCCATCCCAAACCCCACAAAAAAGTTATTTAAGTCATTTACTATTAAAGTAAAACAGTGGCTTACTACAATTATGTAAATAACAATCACATTTACATATATTTATATGTATAAAATTCACCATCATCTTTCATAGGCAAGACAAAACAACAGAGGGAGAAACTAAAATAATTATCAATTAAAAGTTATACTTAAGACTAGGTATTAGTTTTAAATACAAAGACTTTATTTCAATATCGTGTAGTACACATACTTTATTATGTTTGCCTTTTTATTCCTCTTAAAGAGGTACCAGTCAGTATATTTAATAAAAATGCTAAAGCAATATGGCCTCACCACACCCAATAAACCATTTCAAAACAGATAATCTGGAGCAGCTCTCTGGACAATTAAGGGAACAAAACTCAAAACCTACTGCCTCAGCAAGTAACTGAACAAGTGCACAATGACTGCTATACAAAAATTTTCACTGCAGCACTCTCCAGCAGTGTGTACAATTAAGAGGCATTTCAAACAACTTAAAAGTCTGTTGATGGGGACCAGATTAAAACTATGAAATATCCACAGAGCAGAATCTCTCACAATTCTCAGAAAGCATGAGCTAGATCTACAGGTACTGACAACAGAAGATATCGGTAACTGTTAAGCAACAAAAACAGGCCATAGAATACAGTCCCATTTACATTAATAGACACAGAAATACATTAAGTTTAATGTGTATTTTGGTGTATGAATAAAACTAACATAAACAGAAAAGCAGTCCTGGAGGGATATCAACAAAATTTAGCAAAATTTCTGTCAGCTGATTTACAGGAATGATGTTCACTTTCCACTTCATTATTACTTCAGAACCTGAGCTTTTAGAAGTGTAAGTTTTAGGCAGGAAAAAAAAACCATGATTTTATAAATAAAACTTTCTTCCATCTTAAAAATAAGTAAGTTTATATACAGGGGTCTGTATTACCTCTACTTTCCAAAATTGTCAGATCAACAGTATAAATATATAAAT